GGAGGGAATGCGACGGAACTCGAAATGCGTCGGTGGCAGTTTTATTGGGGGGGGGGCTGGCTTACCTTGACCAGATCCGTGCCATATTTTTTGGCCACGTCGTCCAGGGAGAGCTTGTGGTCGTCCTGTGGAATGGAAACATAAAATACCTTCGTCAACATGCTTACGCTGGCCATATACATTACAATCCGGTTGTACAGTCTCCGCACATTCTCCATTATAATCTGATTGGACAATTAGATTGCAGCACGTGTGGCCAGAGTGACCAGTCGCCATTGTTGAGCAGCCCGCTGACACAAGGAGAGGCTGGACTTGGCCAATTGGTTTTATCTCAGCAGCTGCCTGTGTTCCCTCACCATGGTCACTTCCTTCTTCAGCTCCTCCATCTCCCGCTCCTTCATCTTCTTCTTCCCCCCGCCGTTGTCGGCGTTGGTCGCCGCCGGCGAGTACTCTCGGCCCTCCTGTGGAAGGTGAGACAGATTTGTTACTGTCGAGGGAAGTATCGTAAATCTACTGCGCATGCGCGTCACGCCGACCGCACACCGCCGTCTCCCGAGTGCGCATAACACATCAGAGAGCTGATCCCTCCGCGTCACGGGATATGGAAACTTTCACAGGGCTCTGTTCTGTTCACTCCGGAGCTGGGGGACAGCGGGAGCGAGCCGCATGGGCCCAGCAGTGTGCATCAGGTGGCCTCTCACCTCCGACTCCCAGCTCCAGAGTCAGCCTCAGACACTCTACTGGAAGCTAAGCAGAAGGAAACCAGAGAATCCGCCGGAGAGAGAGAGAGAGAAGGGGAAAGAGAGGGAGGGAGAGAGAGAGAGGAGGGGGGAGAGAGGAGGGGTGAGAAGGAGGGAGAGAGAGGAGGGGGGAGGAGAGATGGGAGTTGGGGAAGGAGAGAGGGAGAGAGAAAGGGAATGGCGGAGAGAGAGAAGGGGAAGGAAGTGAGAGAGGAGAGGAAAGGGAGATGGAGAGAGATTTCTCCATAATTATCTCGGAATTTGTTGATTTGACACAAATAATAAAATGATTTTTCTGGAATTTGATGGAAAATCATTTCTTGGGATGTCTGCGCA